AGTAGTGATTATCTCTTTTTTTAAGGGGAATTTTCATAAATGTCACTAAATTTGAAAATTTCATTTGCACTAAATTTGATTAAAAAAAAATGTCACTTTTTGGGTGTAAAAGGTCCATATTACCCTTAATGACACCTTTTTAGGAGTATTTAATGCTTGATTTAAAAGTCATTAATGTTGTGATGTGATGATTTGTTTTGTATATTATAAATATTAGAGATATGATTATTATATTGGATAGTATGAATTTTGGTAAAACAAAAATGAATTTGAAAAAAATTTTTATTGGAAAATATAAATTTTTGTTAAAAAAAAAAAAAAAAAAAAAAAAAACACATAACTTCTTACCATTCACAAACCCTAACTTCTTATCCATCTTCTTCATTGCATCATTAAGAAGACATTATTATTAGATTTATCATCCATTTTTCAAAGGTTAGCTATTAGAAATTATTTATATTTTCATCTTATAACTTACTATTTTAAATATTAAATAGAACATAGTCATGTTTATTTGAAATTTTTGAAACTTTTATTCATTGATTTGTTTGATTCTTAATATATATTTGAAGGAAAAGAAATATCAACATCCTTTAGAAAATTTTAAGGATTCCATAATTAATTAGTTATTAAGTTATTCCTTATTTATTTTTGGAAAAATGTTGTGATGTTACTGTTGAGAATTGATTATCACCATTAATGTTTTGAATAATTTCTTCCAATGTACCAAATACATGTTTTCAAGCTCCCCGACAATCTCGACAGTTTAACTATCGAATTCGACATTTTGAAACCACCATATTAGACATCTTAACTATCGAACTCGACATTTAGAAACTGTTAGAATAAATAATTTAACTGTTGGGATTCAACCATTCATTTCACCTTTTATTGTTGAATGGATTTAAATATTCAAAAGTGTTACTTTAATGCTATTAAATGTCGATATATTGATTGTACAGAGTTCTTACCATTGCAATATCTAGAAATCATTTGAGATTTATCGTGTCGCACGGGAAAAAGTTTGTTTATGTGGATAACGAATGAAAGTGAAGAATGGACAAAACCACTTTGGTTTTAGTTCCGATAAGTATTACCCTATGCGCTCGTTATGGTAGAGTTGACCATAATCGAACCACGTGTTCCAACCCTAACACAACTCATGTAAATAAGCTTGATATCTAAAAGTAGTTGAAGTTGTATTCTGAATGTTCCCTTGATGGCGTTGTACATTCTGAAATTATATTATCATTATAATTTTATTACTATTTGCAGATATTAGTCGTGTTTAAGTTCACAAGCAAAATAATTACATAGATAAAAATTGCATGCCATCCGACAGAATGATTCTATCATTCTCGAAAGATGGTTGCAAAGTAGAAAATTTCACTAGAAAAAAATGTATAAGGGACATATTGTTCCAGAACACATTGTCAACTTACATTATTATTAGCATTTTATTATCATTTACAGACATTATATAACATTCTGGCAATTAAACTATCGGTCCCGACATAAGGTTTCTATCATTCTCGACAGTTGGTTGCGAGCATAAAATGTGACTATAAATAAATAAGGAATAAGTTGTTGCAGAACATTTGGTAAAGACGTTACTATATTTATCCCTAACAAAATTATAATACGTAACTCAACAATTTTTCTCATCCCAATTGAACAATCCAACAAGAATGAGAAACGATAAATGATAAAATGTGTAACCACATGTGGATGTAACCACCAAATCATGTTTATAACCACATTCTTGGAGGGGAGCAAAATGAGATCATTTAGTACACAAATCAATTCTAATTTAGTATTAACAAATTTCGTCACACTATTTCTTTACTATCTTTCTCCTCTCCTTGGTGTATGGAGCCCTAGTAGATGCTGCAAGAAATCGAAAGTGTGTCGATCATTTCCGTTTGCCGCATCCGTCGCCCTACAAGTTGAGGGAACTTTCTCGTTGTCCGGGCATGACACTTCAAGCTCTATGGCTCCTTCATCTATTTGAAAACAACATTTGCAACACTAATCGATATGAGTTCATTATTTCTAGTTTGTAAATTACGGAATAAGATAAGAGCATTTAAAAATTTGAATTCCTTACCTCTTGGTTACCACTAGGGAATGGACCCTTATGATTAACCGAGTAAGGGTTAATGCCTCCTCCATCTAATTGAAAACAATAATTACAATACTAATGGACATGAATTCAATATTTATAATTTGCACACTACGAAATTAGGTAAGTGTATTTAAAATGTTGAATTCCTCAGATGTTAATACTAAACACACGTATAAGAAATAAAAAAATATATAATGTTCGAGAAATACTGTATTTAATTGTTGAGAATGACAGTTCATATCGAAAGATGACTCATTTGTCGAGAATAACTGAATCAAACTGTCGGAGACGATAGTTTATCGCAACAGATGGGTCACATAACTGATATTTAAAGATGTTTTCGTATGAAGAGAATTAATAATTGTACAAACTTTTATTGTGACAAATTAAACAGTTCGCTTAGAAGATTATCCATGCCTAACCTAGAAAAATATAATAAATAAGGTAAATTAGAATGACAAGTATAATACAATAATCAGCTTCTACAAACCAAACAAATTCAGAGAAATATGAAATAAAAAATTGACAAAACGTGAAATAATTATTTTAAAAAAATCATATATAACACCCAGAAAATTTAGAAAAAATTAAAATGCCCAAAAAAATAAACCCCCCCCCCACCCCCCTCAAAATGGAGAAATCAAAATTACATGTAAATGAACTCTCCAAACAAAGTCGAACAAAAAATAGAGAATAATCTAACTCACGATCTAGATATAGGGAACTCAAAATTGATGATGCAATCTAAAAGCAAGAAAAAAAGGAACAATAGTAAAAAATTTGAAACAAAACCTTCAATCGATCGAAAAAAATGCATATATTCGAAACCTTACCTAAAATATTCTTCTTCCTTCTATATTGACGTAATAAACGAGATCCCAACATAAGAATTTGCACTCCATATAATTTTCTAAGAATCAAGAGAAGAACCATAAAAAAGAATAAAAGAGAAAGGAGAAAGGAGAAATTTTGTAAAGAAACATATTAGAGAGAGAAAAATGAATGAGTTAAGAGTTAAAGTTTTTGCTATATATATATATATTGTAAGGACTTTGAAGTACAATTATGAGGTGATTGATTGTCACATTTTTTTCACTCTTTGTACAACTTTTTATGTTGTCAATTCAAGGATGTATAAGGTATTTAAATTTTTAAGAGGGGAAAAAATGTCCAAAATTGATAATTTTGCAAAGATTTTAAAAAAAAAGTGTCATTTTTGTAAATGCAAAATCAAAAATTAACTATTTTGGTAATTTTCTCTTCTTTTTTTTATTGATCTACACTTAACTAATCTACAAAGAACAATTTTACACAAATAGGTTAAAAAATAGGTTTAAAAATAGGGTGCATACGTGTCAACACATGATTAAATTGTTTGAAAAATAAAAATAACAAACACACAATCATCTGCTATCAAGTTAGGCTCTGTATGATAGGCACTAAATTCCATGGAAAATGAATTCCATTTTCCAACCTTTTTGGTATTTGATTAGAGATGGCAATTTGAACCGTCAAAATCGAAAACCACGGTTAATCGAACCGAGCGGGGCAAAAAAAAATTGAATCGATGGTGCAATGGGACGGATATGGTATTAGATTTTAATAAACCGGTTCGGGGAGGTGCGGATATGATATTTATGCCATCGCTCCGAGCTAAACTGATTACCTGTTAAATTTATTGTTTTTCATCTAAATAGTAATCCAATGCAAAACATGTATTAAAAAAATATCTAATTTTGCAAATTCCACATAGGCCTTTTTTCTTCCTTTGCAGTCACACATGATGGTTATCAACTCACTCGCTCTAATCGAACTCAATCAACAGTTTCAATTTCAAAAAACTTATTCACTTACAGTAAATTTAATCATTTGATTAGTTTTAAGCATCTGGATTGACTTGAAATTAAGTATACATAGTCTTTGCCTTTCTTGATTTGGTCATTAGTAACCTAGACATCGCTATTGGTATTATAAATCGTCGCCTTCTTACAGAGGTACCCTCTATCGATCCTTTGTACAATTTTAATTTTGTAAGTGATCAACAACGCAAATCGTTTGAAGTGCTTTAATATATTTCACTCGACTATCAGTTGATAGCCATCATATGTGACTTTTTTTATAAATTGTTTTTTCAATTTGACGACTGAACTTATGAAAAATAATTTATTTTTATGGTTATTAACCGCCTCGAATTGAGGCGAACCAAGATACGAATCGAACAAAATCGAACCGAAACCAACTTACGTGGTTATGGTGCGGTTATGGTATGACAAAAAAATTAGTGGTTCGTTGATGGTTTTGGCCGAACCATTGCCAATCCTATGTTTGATTGCATTTCTTCTCCATGAAATTCATTTTTCATGTTTTGATCACACGTGCAGTTTCCTTATTTTGGTGGAAAATCGGTGAGAATTGGTTTTCCACCTTTTTTTCTTTTTTTTTTTTTTTTGGGGCATTGGGAACAAATTCTAGAAACAATTGTAAAAGATAATATCCCTTAGATTGAAATTTTTTATGTAAAACAAAGCTATACAAACACCAAAATATAGATGATTTTTAATTTTTTATCATCTTTTTCTTTTTGGCAATGAAAGTAAATTCTAAGAACAATTATAGAAGTTGATATCCCTTAAATTGACAATTTTCTTGAAAAATAAAGCCAAATGAACGCCAAAAGACACTCTTATTTTAACATTTTTCGATTGAAAAATTATACCAATCAAACACTATTAATTGACAATTCTTACTAAAACAAATTTTAGGCAATTCAATTCCCTTCAATTCATTTTCTTTCTATCGAAATTAAATCTTTACAATCAAACGGAACTTAGTCTATATTTTTCTCCTACCATTAAGCTTGGACAAACATCATTACCCATATACAAATTGCTGTTCGTGTGCCTTGTAAACAAGCGATACAGTAAAGTGAGAAGTGTCGGATCGATGCAGAAAAATCCGACATTAATTTCCTCCTCGTCATAATCCGATACCCAACCGTGTGCTCTATTAATGCACCACCCTCTTCTTCTTCACCACAAATACTCAACTTTACATCCTTTTTTCACGCAGAAACGCATAGTATTCTGTGTGTGAAACCATGAACTCCACAGACATCTTTCTCTATTTACTATTATCTTTTTCTTTTCTCGTGTTAGTTCTCCATCTCCTCCGCACCACCAACCGCCGGAAACTCCATCTGCCACCGGGAAACCTTGGCCTCCCTTTTCTCGGCGAGACCCTTCAGCTTATCTCTGCCTACAAGACAGAAAACCCAGAGCCCTTCATTGACGATAGGGTCTCCAAATATGGCACCGTTTTCACAACACATGTATTCGGAGAACCAACTGTTTTCTCCGCAGACCCGGATATCAACCGGTTCATTTTGCAGAACGAGGGCCGGCTTTTTGAGTCGAGTTACCCTGGTTCAATATCCAACTTACTAGGAAGGCATTCATTGCTTCTGATGAGAGGGAATTTGCATAAAAGAATGCATTCGCTCACTATGAGCTTTGCGAATTCTTCAATTATTAGAGACCATTTGTTAGTGGATATAGACCGGCTTGTCCGGTTGAACATGGAGGGCTGGACCGGTCGGGTGCTACTCATGGAGGAGGCGAAGAAGGTAAACCTTTTATTCATCCGGCGCATTTTAGAACTGGAATATAATAATGAAAGCGCAGTTTAGCATGTAATCATCAAGTTCCATGGACAGAAGTGCGTGCGTTATGATTCATGTATGGAGAATAAAAAATTAAACTTGATGAGTCAGATTTCCACAGTGGGTGGGTTCACAAACTTTTCCGGTTCAAGTTATAGAGCCCCTTTTTCTTAAATAAATTTTTTAACATTTCTGGACATAAGATCAGTTCTTGTTAACGTGCAATTTCAAATGGATTATTCTCTTTGCCTTTCAGCGCACTATGTTTTGTTTTCTCATCATTGTCAGGTTTTTGTTTAGAAGCTTCTAATTCTTTTTCCTCAAAAAAAATGGTTGGGCACAGTTGTATTTGATTTTTTATTATATTATTATATGTGTATGGACAGATCACTTTTCAGCTGACAGTGAAGCAACTGATGAGTTTCGATCCCTGCGAATGGACTGAGAATCTGATGAAAGAATATATGCTGGTCATTGAAGGATTTTTCACTGTTCCTTTACCAATATTTTCAACCACGTATCGGAGAGCCATCCAAGTAAATCTTTTTCACCCTCCTTAATCAATTATTTGGAAAAATATAAATATATTAAAGTTTTGCAATATTTGAAGGCTAGAGGAAAGGTGGCGGAGGCGTTGGGATTGGTGGTGAGGGCGAGGAGGAGGGAGAGAAAAAATGACATGTTAGCGGCGTTGCTAGACGAAGAAGGAGGATTGTCCGACGAGGAAATAGTTGATTTTATGGTGGCTTTGTTGGTGGCGGGTTATGAGACAACTTCTACAATAATGACACTCGCCGTTAAATTCCTCACCGAGACACCCCCTGCCTTGGCTCAACTGAAGGTCAGTTACCATTTTTTTCAATTATTTTTCTCTCAAAAATAGAAATAGAAATAGAAATAGGAGGATGTGCTGTTCTTTCTGGTGGACCCAAAATCTCCCCACCATCCCAGCACTCAATGGGCATACATATCTCCTTATCTAAATTCTCATCCAAACAAATTCTAGAGGATCACAAGCCTATGGTATAATTAGGTGTCAAAACTGTCAATAATTCGATATCAAAAATCTTTGTAACTAAAATATTTGGCTACTCTACCTCCCGAACTGCGCTATTAATATTCCACTTGGGTTACTTGTTTTAGCCCTTTACTTTAGTCAAAGACGTGTAATAAAAGAACTCAACTATGAATGAATGAGATATAAATTTTGCGAAAAATTAATACTTTTGAAGAATGTGTAATTAAACGTAAAGAAGTTTTATGAATTTTTGTACAAAATTATTTTTGAAGAATGTGTGGTTAAACGTAAAGAAATTTTATGAATTCTTGTACAAAATTATTTTTTTAAAACAAAAATTTGCAAAATATATATATATATATATATATATTTTTTAAATTATCTACTCAACATGGGCTAAGTCTACACTGGGAGGTAATGTCAATTTAGATCACAATATGATATAGAGTAGCACTATTAGCGTTAAAATATAAATGTAGGTAGCACTAATGTGACATTAAATGAAATGTAAATACTTAATTCTAGTTTTTGTTGGGTCTATCATTTAGCGTTATTAATATTAATGTTAATAATATTAATGATGTTAAATAACATTATTATTTAATGAGTGTAATTGTGTCTAAGTGGCCATGTAAAAATAACGAAATGACTTCCAAGTCCCAGTTATGGATGGAATTTTCAAAAGTGCATTCCTAAAGTCAAAGTAAGCGGACGGGCTAACTCGATGCCTTCAAGGCTACAAGTGGACAAAATGATGCCCCTACCAATCTGCACGCCTATACCTCGCTTTGCCATTCATGCAAATGTGAGCAAGAGATGTATAAGGATGACACCTCAGTTTACCGTTTATATACACACAGATTTCGATGCATTTTTAACAACACTTTTTTAATTAATGGTACACATAGGGAGTATAAATCAATGTGTGTGCAAATAGCTTAATCCGTTATGTTTTGTTGTGGTGTGTTACCTTCTTGTTTTGTTGTCAACTCATAGCTAATTTTATAGATTAAATAGAGCAAATTTAACAAAGTTTCATCTACGGTTGCTTACTGTCAAATGATTGCCATCTATAGATTTTATAGGATTAACTTAATAATGCATAACTCATTTTAATCCCTTTATAAGTAAAAGCTATAAACACTTTCCAAACAAACTTTTAGTTGAGAATCATGCGACATCTGCTCTTTCATGTTATCTCTGCATGAAACTCTAGAACCAAATGCTAAAATAAATTGAAAATTATAGAAACGTTAATTATTTTAAATAATTAAAAGTGTGTTTTTAGCATTTTTATGATGTGATGTAGTACTGATAAATTGACATGTCATGGAACAATTGCATGGAAGATTCATCCTGTTATAATTGTCAATTATGTAATTTTCATCAATTTGAGGGGAGCGAATTAAACATGGGCTCGATTTTAATTTTATTCATTTTTCTGTTTCTTTTTTTTTCCTAACTATACATTTTTTAATAAAATAGTATTACATGTAAATTTAAAACTTTTTTTTTCCCTTTTTTAACTAGACATATTTCCAAAAATTACTATTTCAAAATATATTTTTCATTGAACTTCATGAAAATGGAGCTCAAACAAGGTCTAAATTGCAGTAAAATTGAAGTTCAATAGCATTTTAAATGTTTGACATATTTATAATTACTTTTAGTTTAGGATCAAACTTTATTTTTATTCATATATTTCTTCAGATTTCACGTACTTTTTCCTACGTACTATCTATAAATTTCATAACCTCTTATAAAAAAAGGCTTTGCCAAACAAGCTTAGCACTTGTTTGACGGAGATTAAAATCAAATTTTTAGTAAATTTTAAAAAATGTTGATAAGATGTATGATTAAAAAATTGTGAATTGCATAAAATATATAGTTAAAATTAATTCTTCACATTGGCTGAATTTTAATTCTTACAAACATGGACTTTGATTCGAAGAAATATCTAGGAAAGAGTGATGTACAAATTTCAAGGCTTTAAAATCTGACGTTGGACAACGGTGTTCTAAACGTGTCATCACAGCATGCCCATTTGATGCCTACCCCATCAACTGTACCTAATTATAGCTTTTAGGTACTGTTGAAACATAAAAAGGCTAGTATATAAAAAAAAAAGGTTGAACCCCAATCTTGAAGACTCCACCGCCCCGTCCCTAGAGTATCGTGAGAGAGGTAAATCACGGAATGTGCTCCAACAGGTCAGGGAACAAAAGTATGCCTGTACACTAGTGCCCACAAAGAGTCCAATTTCATATCTCAGGAATCGAACCTTCACATTGTAACTGCCAGCAAAATTAAGACTATCTTACTTTTGTCCTTTGCACCACTGGATTATGTCCCGGGAGGCAAAAAGAAAGGCAGATATACATATGCTAGTGTGCAAACTGCAATGTTGTTTAACTCGAGTTCTATGTGTATCTTGTTTTGGTATATTATTATTTGGTGATCATAATGAGATTAAAAAAAGAGTAGATCATATAAAATGGAGAATTATAAAATGTGTAAAAAGAATGAGAGGCTGGATGTCTTAAATTTACCATGGAATTCACCTTATGAGTAACATTACTTCAAGGCAAGACCTTAATGCTTCTACTTGAGGATATCCTAAAATGTTATAGTCAAGAACTAGGTAGCTTTGATGCTCTAAAAAAGTAGTGTTGAATGGAAATAGCATGAGAACATATGAAAAGTTTCTTGAATATTTTTTGTCTGATAAATTATTAAGCCATCGTTTTAGTTAGTTGTGATATCAGAGCATAGTCTAACTCTTAGAGTCTTGACCTCGTCTCTGGACAGGATGAGCATGATGAGATCCTTGCGAAGAAAGGTGAAGTAGAGACTCTTCAATGGGACGATTACAAATCTATGAATTTCACCCAATGTGTAAGTGAATATACATTATGAGTTGTTGATCCTTCATGATGATCTCTTGATTGAGTAACTAATGTATTTTCAGGTAGTGAATGAAACTCTGCGTGTAGCTAACATAATTAGTGGAGTATTTCGAAGAGCGATGAGGGATGTCAGTATCAAAGGTGAAAATTGAAGTTTCTTCTATTAAATGCCGAGTGGTTTGTGTGTCCATCCATGTTATTTCTAGATTTCTAATTTGATAAGAGCGTTATTAATGTGGTTAGATTTGGCAACAGACAGTTCAGTACATTAATAAGCTGGTCTTGTTTTATTCAGGTTATACAATTCCAAAGGGATGGAAAGTTTTTGCTTCTCTTCGAGCTGTACACATGGATCACGACCACTTCAAAGATGCTCGCACTTTTAATCCATGGAGGTGGCAGGTACCTGAAATTTCATCCTTTTGATGCATTTTCCACATGTTTCAAATATTTGAAAAAGTAATTATGTGAGTACTTAACAGGCCAATTCAGGAAGTAACAGCTGCAACACAGTAAATGTATTCACACCGTTTGGTGGAGGGCCAAGGCGTTGTCCTGGCGCCGAGCTTGCTCGGGTCGAGCTTTCAGTGTTCCTTCACCACTTGGTCACTCAATTCAGGTATGTTACACTCCTGACTCAGCTTTAAATCGTGTAAGTTTTGAATGGCTAATACCAATTTTTGGTGAATATGATCTCCAGTTGGGTACCGGCAGAACAAGACAAGCTAGTTTTCTTTCCAACGACACGGACTCAAAAACGTTATCCAATAATAGTTCAGCGTCGAAGTGAGTTCAAATGCTCATCAACTTTGTAAAGAATGAAAGATGAATTTGGATATGCAAAAGAATGAATTGCTGCCAATGAAGATAATGTAGGAAGCAAATTTTAGTTGACGCCAAATTGTATGTAGTGAATCCCAATAAAAACATGCTATTTATAGTTTAGCATATTATATATTTACACACATAAATGAATCTTTTTCAAGCGCATTTCTTGGCTAGAAATTTATCTACATTTATAAACCTTGAAGGGATTTGATTTATATTTAAATGAACATACATAAAATTTATGATATGTATCCTCTTTTATATTTTGCAGTGCTTCATAAGTTATTAAATCGTTCTAGACATAGAAAACGTGTGTTTAAGCAACAAATCATTGAGTCAACGATCGAGATTGGTTTTGCTTTTTCTAATTAATGGCGCACATAAATGGCGCCGGCTAGTGGGCTCAATAATGTCGATGGGGCAAAAGAATGCCAAACGCGTCTGTCAGTTAGGCTAGAATAAAGAATATCTGTCTACCATATATTATTTTAAGCTACATTTAAAAATTTAAATTGTTAAAAAAGTATATCCATTTATCTTATGTCTTTCAACAATCACCTACTTTTACACTTTAAGAAATCATGTTGCTACGAGCTACTTCTTTGGGCTAAGTCAAGATGAACCGCTTTGCTCGCAAACTATCAGGCTTGGTTCGGTCCACCATTAGAGCTGGCTTGCGCCACTAACTTCCTTTTTAGGGATAAAGCAAGCTGGTTTGTTAGAAAATTGCATTTCTCTCACCAATTACGAGTCGATAAGCTCATCAAGCAAGCTAGCTCATCTGGTTCATAAACCAATTCATACAAGCCAACAAGCGGATTGCAGGTGATTTTTGCTAGTTGGCTCGTTTGTGGGATGAGCCACTCATCCCACTTAACATTCTCACGTCTCTCGTACCCACTTAGCACCTTTA